ATATATATATATATATATATATAAATAAATAATTATAAAAAGCGAGGTTCAACAGTAGCTTTGATTAGACATTTTATTACTACTTATTTTCGTACCACACACATGGTGTGACACTCTTCAGATAAAATTGCCTAATATACAATTATATACACTATACTACAATATATATATATATATATATATATGTAGCGGGTGACCACTACTTGTAGTAAGCGAATCCGTCACTTAATTTGTCGTGGGGGTGATGATTACATATATGGCCACAAATAAAACAAGAGGAACCTTTTCTAGTTATATACTTAATAATGATTTATTGGGCAATGGGGATTACAATAGGGACTTATAAATTGGACCTAACCTAACCTAACAAACTACTCACGTGAGACCGTCGGAAATGCAGCGTACGCTTGTAGAAAGTAAAATAATAATGAATGCAAGAAGTCCAACAAATATAGAGTTTAGAATATACGGCAAAACAGCGAGTTCCAATTATATACGGTAACAAAGTTCAGTTCCGGAAGATGTCCAAAATCGCTTCCACTTGCAATCGTCTGCTTGCACTTGGTACCGGCAAATCAAACTGTTCTCCTGATCCAAGTCAAGAAAATAGTGGAACCAAAAGAGTAGTAATTCTTCTTCCTTATTAATTCAGGAAGGTTTCCAGTCAACAGCTTTTTGAAGAAAATTCACATTTATCCTAAGTCTATCCGACTATAGGACTATACTTCTGTGTGCTGGAGTTCCGATCGGGATCTCTCAGTGTTCCTTCTTCTCTGCTGTGTCTTTTTCCTTCTTTCCTGTTTTCTTGTTTCCTTGGATATTCTGGGTATATGTAGGGGATCTGGCTCCACCCTACTCATTCGAATATTCAATTATCATTGGTCCTTTAGCCTCAGGCAACACCCAAAGTCACTGTCCATTCCCGATTTCCTGTGTCCGGTAATAAATCATTTGATGTTGACAAGATGTTTCCTACACTTCCTCAGGTATGTCGACAGCATAACACCCAACTCTCGGGAGAGGGTTAGCTGGTGGTATCTATTTGACTATAGGAAATGGAATGTTCAATGGGTCATTAACCTACAGGCTAAAACAGTATTGCATTGTATAGCCTCTTTGGATACGGGATAGTTTGGATTAATATAAATAAATAATATAGAATAAATTTAAAGGTACTTAAGATTAACTAAAAAAATATACAAAAATACACCCTACTACATCTATATATGTATATATGTATGTATAAAGCATTACCGCAAGACGATTTAGTGTTTATCTTTTCATGTGTTACATTTCCTATAATAAAGCATCTCTTCGGAGATCTCCTCTTGTCGTTTAAGAGGGTATATCACATTGATTTTTGTTTAACGTGGGCGCATCAAATGCTAATGCTGTATTGGCATATCGTAGAGCGCGAAGTAAATTGCCTCCAATCAGATTCAAAATTCCGAAGAAAGGCTCAATGTCTCAGTTGGGTAAAGTGTCTTTATAGACAGGAAGAGGTCCCTGGTTCGAATCCCGGTTGGGGAATTTTTTTCGCACTCGCAGATTCCTATTTTTAATCGTTTAAAAGTATATATGTATATATATTTACCTATGTAATAGGTAAGTAATATAACAGAGTTCAAATATAGGAAAAACGATTTTATGATTGTAATATACATACATACACACACACACACACACACACACACATATATATATATATATATATATATATATATTATTATATATATTATATATTATAATATAATTATTATATTATAGTTATATATGTATATATATATATACAGTATATATAT